GTCTCCTATGGGGTCACTGATCCTTCCCCTGTGTCCTGATTCCCACAGTACTTTGTGTGTGCCCTCCTAGAGTCTAGTCTCTGTTTCTCCCAGTCCTGTCGAAGTCCTGCTGTCAAATCCCGCTAGCCTTCAAAGTCTGATTCTCTAGGAAGTCCTCCTCCCGTTGCCAGACCCCCAGGTTGGGAAGCCTGACGTGGGGCTCAGAACCTTCACTGCAGTGGGTGGACTTCTGTGGTATAAGTGTTCTCCAGTTTGTGAGTCACCCATGTAGCAGTTATGGGATTTGATTTTATTGTGATTGCGCCCTTCCTACCGTCTCATTGTGGCTTCTCCTTTGTCTTTGGATGTGGGGTATCTTTTTTGGTGAGTTCCAGTGTCTTCCTGTCGATGATTGCTCAGAAGTTAGTTGTGATTCCAGTGCTCTCACAAGAGGAAGTAAGAGCACGTCCTTCTACTCTGCCATCTTGAACCAATCTCATGGTCACCTTATTTTTGATGAAGGATCAAGAATATACAATGGAGAAAAGACAGCCCCTTCAATAAGTGGTGCTGGGAAAACTGGACAGCTACATGTAAAAGAATGAAATTAGAACACTCCCTAACACCATACACAAAAATAAACTCAAAATGAATTAAAGACCTAATGTAAGGGCGGACACTATAAAACTCCTAGAGGAAAACATAGGCAGAACACTCTATGACATAAATCACAGCAAGATCCTTTTTGACCCACCTCCTAGAGAAATGGAAATAAAAACAAAAATAAACAAATGGGACCTAATGAAACTTAAAAGCTTTTGCTCAGCAAAGGAAACCATAAACAAGACGAAAAGCAACCCTCAGAATGGGATAAAATATTTGCAAACGAAGCAACTGACAAAGGATTAATCTCCAAAATTTACAAGCAGGTCATGCAGCTCAATATCAAAAAAACAAACAACCCAATTCAAAAATGGGCAGAAGACCTAAATAGACATTTCTCTAAAGAAGATATACAGATTCCCAACGAACACATGAAAGAGTGCTCTACATCACTAATCATTAGAGAAATGCAAATCAAAACTACAGTGAAGTATCACCTCACACCAGTCAGAATGGCCATCATCAAAAAATCTACAAACAATGCTGAAGAGGGTGTGGAGAAAAGGGGACCCTCTTGCACTGTTGTTGGGAATGTAAATTGATACATCCACTATGGAGAACAGTATGGAGGTTCCTTAAAAAACTAAAAATAGAACTACCATATGACCCAGCAATCCCACTACTGGGCATATACCCTGAGAAAACCAAAATTCAAAAAGACTCATGTACCAAAATGTTCATTGCAGCTCTATTTACAATAGCCCAGAGATGGAAACAACCTAAGTGCCCATCATCGGATGAATGGATAAAGAAGATGTGGCACATATATACAATGGAATATTACTCAGCCATAAAAAGAAACAAAATTGAGCTATTTGTAATGAGGTGGATAGACCTAGAGTCTGTCATACAGAGTGAAGTAAGTCAGAAAGAAAAAGACAAATACCGTATGCTAACACATATATATGGAATTTAAGAACAAAAAATGTCATGAAGAACCTAGGGGTAAGACAGGAATAAAGACACAGACCTACTGGAGAACGGACTTGAGGATATGGGGAGGGGGAAGGGTGAGCTGTGACAGGGCGAGAGAGAGGCATGGACATATATACACTAACAAACGTAAGGTAGATAGCTAGTGGGAAGCAGCCGCATGGCACAGGGGTATCGACTCGGTGCTTTGTGACCACCTGGAGGGGTGGGATAGGGAGGGTGGGAGGGAGGGAGACTCGCAAGAGGGAAGAGATATGGGAACATATGTATATGTATAACTGATTCACTTTGTTATAAAGCAGAAACTAACACACCATTGTAAAGCAATTATACCCCAATAAAGATGTTAAAAAAAAAAAAACAACTAAAAACAGAACTACCGTATGACCCAGCAATCCCACTACTGGGCATATATGCAGAGAAAACCATAATTCAAAAAGAGTCATGTAGCACAATGTTCATTGCATCTCTGTTTACATTAGCCAGGAGATGGAAGCAACCTAAGTGTCCATCGACAGATGAATGGATAAAGAAGAAGTGGCACATATATACAATGGAATATTAGCCATAAAAAGAAATGAAATTGAGTTATTTGTAGTGAGGTAGATGGACCTAGAGTCTGTCATACACAGTGAAGTAAGTCAGAAAGAAAAATACCGTATGCTAACACATTTATATGGCATCTAAGAAAAAAAGGTTCTGAAGAACCTAAGGGCAGGACAGGAATAAAGACGCAGACATAGAGAATGGACTGGAGCACACGGGGAGGGGGAAGGGTAAGCTGGGACGAAGTGAGAAAGTGGCATGGATTTACATATACTACCAAATATAAAATAGATAGCTAGTGGGAAGCAGCCGCATGGCATAGGGAGATCACCTCGGTGCTTTGTGACCACCTAGAGGGATGGGATAAGGAGGGTAGGAGGGAGACGCAAGAGGGAGGAGATATGGTGATATGTGAATATGTATAGCTGATTCACTTTGTTATAAAGCAGAAACTGACACACCATTGTAAAGCAATTATACTCCAATGAAGATGTTTAAAAAAAAAGTCCACAGTTTTTCTATATTGTGCTGGCCAAAATACATAGGGTTTTTTTGTGGTACGTGGGCCTCTCACTGTTGTGGCCTCTCCTGTTGTGGAGCACAGGCTCCAGACGCGCAGGCTCAGCGGCCATGGCTCACGGGCCCAGCCGCTCCACGGCATGTGCGATCTTCCCAGACCGGGGCACGAACCCATGTCCCCTGCATCGGCAGGTGGAGTCTCAACCACTGCACCACCAGGGAAGCCCCAAAATACATTGGTTTTAAGGTAGTTCGTTGTAAATACAACCAACCTATTGTCAGTTGTTAATAGTTTTGCAAAATTTTCTTAAATTTTGAGATTCTGTGAGATTTCTGAAAACCAAAGTGTAATTTGCAGAGTGAGAGAAAATGTTTTCCTATATAGGTAGTGGAATTTGATGACAGAGGTCAATTTTAAAACTATTTATTTGGTGTGACTATCGTGCAGATGCCATTTCTCTACAGGGAAAGACTAAAATATAGCTTGTTGTTTGATTTGTGCTGCAGGGTAGATTAATTAAAATTATATTTTGTCACCTACAAGTTCTATGTTGTGACAGCATCAGACTCTAAAACTATATATTTTATTTAAAAGGCCAGCATTAACAAAAGATGGTTTATAACTCCTGAAAATAGTTTTCTAGCAATTTATATATAAGTAAATATACAATTTAAATGAAGGATTTCTGCTCTGTTATTTGGGGAACAAATGGAAAATGGTTCCTAGTTCATTTTCTTTAGTTAAGTGTTTTCTGCTTTGCTGGATTCAGTTACCTATGGCTTATTCTTTGTCTTTCCTCTGATATTATAAAATAATTTGAAGTGATCTTTACTTTGTGTCCCTCTGAGACTGCCTATTTCATCATAAATTGTTTGCTTCTTTCATCTAGGCTTTTTTTTTTTTAATGTTAAAAATTTAGTTAGTGTTCTTCTAGAAAGATATTCTCAGGATAACTTTATGGTTCCCCAGTAGGTTACTTCCAGTTGACTATCTTGGAGTCTGATCTTGTTTGAATATTCATCTAGCAACCAGTGCCAGGTTCTTTCTTCCTTCTTCTCCACACTAATAAGATTTCGGTGGGAATTAAGCCTGCTTCCTTTTCCAGAAAAACTTAGCAACCTGTGTAGTGATATTTTATTTTGACTTCTTCACCTTGTTTTTTTTAAAGAATACCATTTGACACTTACTTGCCTTCGTGAAATGATGCTATGTTTCATGCATTTATTTCCCAGTTTTAATATCTTAAATTTATCTACCTTAATGAGGCATCTTTGATGGGTGCCCCTGAATAGTTTAGTGCCCAAATACTAAAAAATTATACCTTGTAGATTTGGTCATTTGGGTTAGGCATAATGAAAGCTGTACAACAAAACAATACTAACTCACTTTCAATTGTTGACATGAGGATAGATACAGAGTAAATCCATAAGAAAGTGTGATATATTGAAAAGGTTTATAATGAGAACACTTGGCTCTGCGTTCTATTTCTACCACTTATTATTTGTGTGACCTTTATGAAGTTTTCCCAATTTCTTAAAACCTCACTTTCTCCCTTAGTTATTAAAAAAAAAGTATATGTATAATTTTCATGTTATTATAGCAATTAATATATAACTTTCAGTGTCGTTGTAAGAGTTAACTGAGTTAATTTTAAGGAAGTGCTTTGTAAATCATACAGCATAGAACTGTTTCCTATAATATACAGAAACTATTTTTAAGTACCATTGACCTTTGAACAACACAGGTTTGAATTGCGTGGGTTCCCTTTTATGCATGTTTTGTTCACTAAGTACCTACTACAGTGCTACACGATTCTCAGTTAGTTGAATTAATGGATGCAGATACGTGGATATGAAGGAACCTTGGATGTGGAGAGCCAACGATAAGTTACATGTGAACTTTCTACTGCATAGAGGGTCTGCACCTCTACCCCCCACATCTGTTGTTCAAAGGCCAACTGTAATTCTCTCTTATTCCAAAAAGTTTGACTATATTTTGGCCACTTTCCCTCCAATTTACCGTTCAACTTATTCTTCAGGCATTTCTTAACCTGTGCTTAAACTAAGGAGAGCTTAAGCTCTAGGGGTGCTTCTTTTCTTCTTTTTCATCTATTCCATACTTCTTCCTTACCTAAATTCTGCCTCTTCTATTTAGAGATTCAGGAATAAAGAGTTTGTTAGAGGAAAGGGATCAAGAAATGATGTACTGTTGGCTGTTAGGGAAATCTGATATTTATTTTACACTGTCACGTATTTAGTAAAGAACAGAGAAGTGGGCTTAGTGATCAGTTTCTTTCCCCCTTTGAGCATCACTGTGTGTAAACGTTGATTTTTTTCTTTTTTTTAATTCCATCTTCTAGTTACAACAGTTGGAGCTCGCGCAGATACAGCATAGAGATGCTAATCTCACAGCTCTTGCAGCTATTGGACCAAGGAAGAAGAGACCACTAGAATCCGGGTCTGGAAGTGAGGTATTGAAATAACGTTTGTTTATTTTATTTTTCATGTCAAAAAAGCAAGCCTAAAGGAAGCAAAGAATGCAAATTTACTCTGCCTTGCACACTGTTGCTGTCAAATACTTGTTAAAACTCTCCTTTGCCTCTTTTATAAAAATCTTAATTTTTGCTTCTTTTTTTTTTGGTTTTTTTTTTTTTTTGCGGTACGTGGGCCTCTCACTGTTGTGGCCTCTCCAGTTGCGGAGCACAGGCTCCGGACGCGCAGGTTCAGCGGCCATGGCTCACAGGTCCAGCCGCTCCGCGGCATGTGGGATCTTCCCGGACCGGGGCACAAATCCATGTGCCCTGTATCGGCAGGTGGACTCTCAACCACTGCGCCACCAGGGAAGCCCAATTTTTGCTTGTTTTTAAAAATATATATCACATTGAACTTTACTCCTACTAATTACTTATTTTATACTTTTTCCTATCCCCCATCTCTAGTTATACTGAATCTCACTATCGCAGTTTCTTCTGTACACTCTTTCAGGCAGTTTTATGTAATTTTCTCCCCGCTGTGTATCTAAATCCAGCTCATCTGTTAAAATCAAGTCTGCCCTCTCATTTCTATCATGAACCTTGACTCTGCATACCCACACTGACTTCTCCTTTTCTCAGCACATAATGTGTTTGCACGGCATTAATCATTCTCTGCTCCTCGCGTGCGTGTTTTCTCTTCTGTGAGATTATGAATTTCTTGAGCAAGACTATAATCCTTTTCCTTTGTATCTCCCACAGGACCGGGCACATACATATTCAATAAATATCATTAATGTTTGATTAACACCAAGGAAGGATCTTACTTACATCTTTAGAGCAATTATTTGCTGTAGTGATAGATTTTCAGATCGGTTATCAGGGCTGAGATACAGGTTCGATAAGAGCCCTGAGCTAGGTCAGCAGTAAAGGAACCACGGCTCGTCTGTTCTGCTCTGTAAAACTTAAATGTGCTTTGAGACAAGCTCCTCCCAGTGCTGACCCTAAACACTGATGTTTCCTAAATGAATGACAATCATCTCAATAGAAGAAGGATTTTAAAAGTCTAGTTCTTTTTATTAATAAAAGTGTAATGAATGCAATATGTTCACATGCAAAAAAAATTCATAGTATAAAAATGTTTGAAAAAAATAAATGTTTCCTCCTCACAGATTTCTAGTCCCCCATCTCCTGCCCAGCCAGATGTAACCACCATTAAGATTCTCACATATCCTTCTAGAATTCGTTGTGAATATGGGCATGTATCTCATGTGCCTTCACAAATCCACATTTGATTTTGTTTTTACTAAATGCAGTCAAATTGTGTCTATTGTTCTGCTCTTGATACTTTTCCCCTTTTCCGTAATATCTCTCATATAATTTATCTCCTTACTTTTTAAAGGTATATGGCATTACTGTGTTTAGATAAATAATGTATTCAACCAGTTCTCTAATGGAAATGTAGGTTGTTTCCGGGTCTTTGCTTTTATTGCCTCAGAGAACATCCTTGTACTTACCTCGTTGTGTGCTTGTCCAACGTAACTATAGACTAAATACCTAGAAATGGAATACCTGGGTTAAAGGGTGTGCATTAATAGGAAAACCTTTTTGGAAAAATTCAAACATACTCAAAGCTAGAGTAGTATGAATCCCCTACACACCTACCATCCTGCTGCAACTACTATCAGTTTATGCCTAATTTTGTTTTATTTATATCTACACCAACCTTCTCAGGTAAGTTTTTCACTCCTCAGGTTATTTTAAAGTCAGTCCTAGACTTAATATCATTTTACCCATAAATATTATTTGTTGCTTTTCATTTTTGATAAATATTTTAAAATTACCTCCTGAATGAGTTGTATCAGGCTTTATATCCATTAGTGCCTGTTTTCTCACACTCTCATTTAACACTGGGGATTCTCTTTGCCATCTGATGGTTGAAAATGCAATTTTTAATAGAGTGTTTAAATTATGAATGAAATTGAGCAATTTTTTCATGTGTATATTGGCATTTCAATTTACCTTTTCCCCACTGAGTTATATTTTTTAATAGATTAAGAAAATGGAACACTCCACACCTCCCTCCACTTTCCTTTCAGTTTGTCTGGGCTTTATTCACCTAAAAGTTTGTATTTTCTTAAATTAAAAAAAAAAAATCAGTCTTCTGCTTTTGTCCTCCTGGGGTTCTATTGTGTTTGGAAAGCCCTTTCTTAATAATTAGACTTATGTGTTAGTATTTTATCATTTCAGCTTTTAAGTATAAATCTTTGGTTCACTCAGAATTTGTTTTGAATAAGAGTTGAGATCTGGATTTACCTTTACTCCCTCACGTCCCCCTCATTCTCCCCCAGGCTAGCAGATTGTCCCAACACTGTTTACTCAATGATTCTTTCCCCACTGATTTGAAATGCCACCTTTATCACAAACAATTTTGTGTCAAATACAAATTTCCATATGTATTTGAGACTGTTTCTGTATACTCTGACCCAGTGCTAGCTAATAGAACTTTCTGTGATGAGAATGTGCTGTCTGTGCTGTCCTCAGCAACTACATATGGCTGTTGAGCAGTTGAGCTGTGGCTAGTGTGATTGAGGAAATAGTTTTAATTTTTTTAATTAATGTAAATTTTAATAGTCACATGTGACTAGCAACTACCATATAAGTGCAGCAGGACCAGTCTAGTGATGTATATCTGTTTATGGCTATTTATGTATTAGTACCAAATCTTTCTTTTTAACCATCTTAACCATTTTTAAGTGTACAGTTCAGTAGTGTTGAGCATATTCACATTGTTATGCACCACATCTCCAGAACTTTTTCATCTTGCAAAATTGAAACTCTATACCCATTAAACAACTCCCCATCTTCCCTTTTCCCAGCCCCTGGTAACCACCATTCTACTTTGATTCTATGAATTTGACTACTTAGATAGCTCATGTAAATGGAATCATTTAGTATTTGTCTTTTTGTGACCGCAAGTTTCCAAATCTTAGTATATTTTAAAATATGGTAACACTAGTCCAGTAGAGTTTTTTATGTTCCTACTTCTCTAGCACAGGACAACCCACTGCCCTTTATTTTTGGTCTATTTGTATGTAAATGTGTAAATATTTTATTAAAAGTGGGCATGCTATTTCATCATTAAGCGTATTCCTATAAATATGGCCTAGTTAGCATAGTTTTTTCTTTTTGGCAAGAACAGTTACTTGTAATCTTTTTTAATCCACATAAAGTTATTCTTTATAATATTATAATTCCTTTGAGAAAGAGCTACAGGGATGTCTGAGTTCCTGCCCTACTTTTTGATAATGGTGGCTTTATACAACAAATTCTGTTAAATGTTTGCTTCGTGGGGAAGCATCATAGCATCATAAGTACATAATAGTTTGGACTCAGTCAAATCTGGGTTTGGTTCTTGACCATTAAGTTTTGTAACCTTTGACAAGTTCTTTAAACCTCTTACCTCAATTATCCCCATCTGGAATATGGGTGTAATACCCGCCTTACAATGTTTTAAGGATTGGATTATGTAAAGTGCTTAATTAGTTCCTGGCCTCAAGTACAGGCCTAATAAATTGTCATCTTTGTCATCATAGTAATAGTACCATTATTTTAGCTTTTAATAGAATTTTATAAGTAGTATTAATGATCCATAGTGAATTTGAACTGTTAATCATTAATCTCTTCAAAGCTTCATTTTTATGTCTCATTTGAGTTCGTCACAAATCTCAGAAACATTAAATGTTCCCTGGTTTCTAATAATCAGAGATTTTAAAGAATTTTTCATCGATTGTATGTTTGAATCTGAGGAAGTCCATAGGTTACAGGGGGGAAAATGAAATGTACTGTTGATGTTCAAAACAGTGATTAAAAAAATATCAGTTTATATGATTTATCTATTAGCTTTAAAGTATAAGCTTATTTAATTTTTAAATTTCAAAACAGATGTGTTCTAACTTGGCTATAAATATACTGAAGTGTGTGTTTGCTTGGTGCTTCTTCAGTTTTGAGGACTTAGGCCTGTATGTTTTCCCCTTTATTCCTGGACTTTAAACTTCGATCGTTGTCAGACCTTTACTGAATTATAACAGCGAGTACTTTTAAGTAATGCCAACCTGAATTGAAAATATCCATTTCTTTAATGAGTTGGTGACGTTTTAGTACAATCCTTATTTTGAAATTAGCTGAAAACTATTTTTTTGTTGATTTTTATTCATGGTGTTTTAACTTCAAAGGTAATTTTCTTTGAAAAATGGGAAACTAGAGAGAACCCTGCTGTATGCTCTTTCAGTGTCTACATATACTGCTGATTGATTTGCCCCTCCAATCACTTAAATTGCATGAATCAGGATTGTTAAAAACCCTTTAACGATTCAGGTTTTTTGTTCTCTCACAAATAACACAAAATTGATGTATGAAACCATTTAGATTTTTAACATTCTATACCTTGAAGACTGAGGGTCTACTTTTTTGTCTGCCTCTTTCTTTATAGATGGGAACCTGAAATCTTACCTGTTTGATTTGAATTTACTAGAATAAGCATATAATCCCAGAGGGGAGTGAGGTAGAGTCTTGCTCTTTGAAGAGTAAAATCCTTAGTTCAAATGCAGGTTTTTAGTACTGAAGGGAAGAGGTTTCAGTTTGGAAGATTGCATAAAACGGTGATTTTAAAAAATGTAAAATTCAGAGAATTAAACTTAGAACGTTCAGCATTCATAGATTATAATTTTTGTTGATAATAAATCAACAATAATAAATTTGGAGAAATTCGTTTTAGACCTTCTTCCTTTAGTATATTTTTCTATTATGTAAAACAAAGCAAAACTGGCTCTTATCCTTTAAAAAATCTTTCTAGTTGTACAATTTATACATTAAACTATTCTCTGTGTAGATTTACATTGATATTCTCAGAAGTCTTGGTAGAGTTGAATAGCATCAGCTCCTGTCTCCTCGTGTTAACCTGGCAAAAAGCAACAAGTACCAATTATCATTTAGAACCA